TGCATATGTTAATATATTTAACAACCTACCAAATTTCTCTGAAGCTCTGTTGATTTTACTTCATTCTATTTTCTCTTTTCTTCATGCTGCATAATATCTTCCAATCTATTTTCAAGTTCAGTGATTCTTTCTTCTTCCAGCTTCTATGAGTAGAGGTCTACTGTTGAACCCCGCTAGTGAAATTTTAATTTCACTTATTGTATTTTTCAGCTTCAGAATTTTCATTTGGTTCTTTTTTTAAAAAAAAAAATAATAATCTATAACTCTTCATTGATATCCTCAATTTTATGAGACATTTTAAATCTTACCTATCTTTAATTCTTTGTTCTTTGATTTTCTTTAATTCTTTTAATGTATTTATAATCACTGTTTTGAAATATTTGAATTCTATGTCCAACACCTGGACTGTTTCTACCGACTGCTGTTGTTCATCATGTATAGGTTATTCTTTCCTTTTTTATATATATCTCAAAAAATGTTGTTGCATTCTGGGAGTTTTATATAATATATTGTAGCAATTCTGGATACTGATCTCCCGTGTGTTTTTTGTTCTTGTCTACTTACTTGATGTTTTATTTGTTTGGTGACCTGGCTTTTCTAGTGGACATTATTTCCTCTGACTTTCCCTGCATGTGGAGCCTCTGTTGCCATTCCTCAGAGGATTCATCATTGGATAGATGCACAGTCATTCTTATCCTCTACAATTTCCAAAGGATAATAATCACTTTAGTTGTGTTCACTTTGACTGTTTCTTTCCACTGTCTCACTGTTAAGTGATTGTTCTGCTTGTATTGGTATCACACTCAGATTTTGGCCTTCTTAATTGTTTGCTGAACTGTTGCTCTACTGTTTTCAATAAAACTCTGAGGTATGAAATGACCAACAATCTGATCCAATTAAATTTGGTTTCTTTATGAATTACTCTGCTTCAGCTACTATAATAATATTTCACAGAATGGGTGGCTAAAACCACAGAAATGTGTTTCCTCACAGTCCTGGAGGATGGAAGTCCATGATCAAGATACTAGCAAATTCACAGGTGAGGGTTTTCTTTCTGCCTAATAGATGTCTGCCTTTTCGTTACTTCCTCACACAGTCTTTCCTTAGTGTATACTCACAAAAAAGGAGAGAGAGTGAGCTATCTAGAGTCTCTTCTTATAAAAACATTAATTCTGTCAGATCAGGACCCCACTCTTATAACCTCAATTAACCTCAATTACTTTCTAGGAGGCCCCATCTCCAAATGCAGCCACACTGGGCATTTGTGCTTCAACATGTAATTGTGGTGGACATAAACATTCGATCTATAACAGGCTTCTTTACAGGGGTAATATTTGAGGCCAAATTTTGTGGCTAGTGCCAAATCCAGGAGGGCATTTCTTCCCTGTGTTTTTTCTGCCTGTCTTGTTTAACTTCTAGCTGGTCTGCCACTAACTCGTTGCTATCATGAAGCAACAAGCCTACTCCTAATTGCTCACCAGAAAAATCTTCACTGTTTTCAAGTGTCCCTATGCTTGAAATGCCCCCATGCTCTCTTAGAAATAAAATTTCACTTGTGTATCATCAGTCTTCTAAGGGAAAGATACATAGCCTCTATACTTATGGGCTGCCTCTCCCATGAGTGGTACCTTTACACCACTGCACCAGAGCAGGCAGAAGAGACAGTGACCTACTTCTCCTGGAGCACTACTCTTGCTCCACAAGTGGAGCACTGAATGTGGATAGTAGTCCCTAGTCTTTTTTACTTGTGCCTCCTGGAATATATCCTATGCACTATGAGTGATCCAGGGATATTCAGGACCTTGCTGCTCCTGGGCCAGAGATTATACCCTATGAGAGGAGGCTGGGTGGAGGAAGGAAACCATAGTCCTCTTGGCCATGTCTACAATGAATAGAATTTCTGCAACCTGAAGTTGGGGCAATATGAGATTCCAACAGCCTTTTGCTCCAGAGGTGAACTATGATCTTCAACTAGAAGCTGGGAGGAGAGAAAGCCCTGTCTTTTGACTACATCTACTCAGAGTTGAGCTCCCATCATACTGTGCTTGGGGAAGAGGAGAGGTTAATGGAGCAGATCCTGGCTCAAATGCCATAGACTCACTTCTTACTGAGATTTAGTTTTCTTGAATAAATAATTCTTAATTTTCTGCATGCCCTTAAGACAACTTCTAGAGATTTTCATATTTTTAAAAATAATTTTCACCTGTTACATAGTTGTTGAAAAGGTTCTAGCACTATACCTCTACCATCTGTCCCTGCCCTTACTTCCTCTGCACTTCTTCAACATGTGACTTAGGAAAAAGAGAAGCTTGATCCCTCCCATCTAGAACCAACTTTTTTTTTCTACAATGAACCCAAAGTACACATAATCCAATCAATATAACAAGACTTGGAGGGAATGCAGAGGGTGAAAAATATGATTCATGGCACCTACTAGGTCCAATATTACTACTTCCTGTGGTAAAATGTCTGTAAAGATTACCTCCAGCAATTCCTGTCATCCTATATACACATGCAATCAAGAGGTGAAATCTATTTCCTCACCCATGAAATCTGAGACTTGGGACTTGCTTTAACCCATAAATTGTGATAAAAATGATACTGTGCCAGTTCTGGGCTTAAGCTATCTGAGAACAGTCAGCTTCCACTATTACTCCCTTGCTACCCTGGACTGCCATGTAAGGAATTCCAGGCTAATCAGATAAAGTGAGACACCATACAGAGAGATAAGCCGTGGGAAGAAGAATTAAGACCCCTGCCCCAGGCAAAAGCCAACACTAAGATCTCAGTCTTGTGAGTGAAGCCACCTTAAGACTTCTAGCCTAGCCCAGATATCAGCAGAATGCAGCCTTCCATTCCAGCTAATCCCACATTGAATGCTGCCCAAATCCTGACCCAGAGAATCATAATAAAACAGTTGTTGTTTAAGCCACTACCTTTTGGGGTAGCTTGTTTATCTATTGCACAGCAATAGATAAATGAAACACTCCACTTGTGGAATTCGATAATAAAGTTTTCTTCTGATTAAGTTTTGTAACAGCTGGTAACAATTTAAATAGAAAGCCAATAAGTGGGGAAAAAAAAAAAAAGAGGAAGAAGAAGAAAAGAGGAGAAATAACAGGGGACAAAGTTATCTATGATTAATAGGGACAGAACAAAATAAATGAGATAGACTGGGATAGGTAAGGAAAAAAGTGATTAAGTGAGGGGATTCAGGGACATGTGACCTAAGGAAGAAATAGATTAAGGATTCAGGAGCCCACATGGTGGACGTATGTGTACAGGAGATGTAGAGGGAAAAGGGGAACAACAAATTAACAAGCAGGGGACCTGGGCCCATAGCCCAATTCTGTTGTAATTAGCCACCTGCCCTCAAGACAGGCATTATTCTAACCTCAAGAAAGGCATTTGTTCTATCTGGCATTGAGTTTCCTACATAGTCAAATGAGGGATAGAGATAAATAATCTCTTGCAGATTTAATTTCTTTCCCTTGACAAGAAAATACAAATGACTTTGACAATTCTTATAAACACTGTGTCCTGAAAACCACACCCATTTATGGGGTGAATGAGACTTTGTAACTCTAAGCGGCTGGCTTATTTGTGCAATAGCCTATGTTGATAGTCTATGTTAATGAGAAGGAAAATATTACTATTTCAATAATTTAGAGATGCTGTATTGATAGTGTCTGTAGGGTTAACAATTTCTTATCCAAGATTTCTGCCTGACTTGCCATGAGGCTTTGTTTTTTATGTTAATAACCTCAATAAATCATATCTAATATTTTCTAAGAAAAATATTCAAATGTGAGACTGCTAGATTCTTTGTTTCAAGCCAAGTCATAAACATCCTTTTTATAAAATCTCTTTGCTGTTGTTAAAATATTTGATGCTATCAAACATAGTATCACCACTCCTTAGAATATTAATTTGGCTTTGTGAAACAAGAACATTACACGTATTATTAATGGGTGAGTGTTCTCTTAAATTCTTCTAACATGAATTCTTTTCAGATTTTTATTAGCTTATTTATATTCACTGAATATGTTTCTTTTTTGAACCCCATTCAGATTCAACTCCTCAAACAAACCAAGCTCACATTCTTATCTATGTGAAAGTATATTCTCTGTCCAATTATCTCAGTCTGGAAACTTTCCTTAAACCTACTTCTATGTAGGTTATCCCTAACCCTACTTTAATTCCTTTTATTTTTCAGCTCTTAGCCTATTACTTCTGAAAAAGCTTCCTTTGATTCCAAAGTCCAGTTATTCTCGTTGAACGCCCTCAGTATGACACGATTACACTCTGTTATAATTGTCTTGTTCTAATACGTATTTCACATTAGACTAAGTTTCAAGAGGACAAAGATATGAGGCTAGATATTTTTTTCTTTCTCATTATAAGTCCCACACTTAGCACAGGTGTGTTCAGTCAATGATTGTTAACCAAGTGAAAAATGAATGAACGTATTGCATGTGACACTGTGGGAGATATAAAAAAGAAATGGAATACTTTGTAGAACATTAAGATCAACTGTATTTATTATAGGTATGTATGTTAGTAATGATATTTTATGAGTAAGAAAACAATTCATTTTAAGATCAATACAACCACAATTTTGCCATATAGTTGAAGTCTTAATTTTTTCTAAATATAATGTAATAAAATTTACTGTCTATCTTAAAATTGAGAATAATTGAGAAAGGAAAAGTAAACACATTAGATTAGATAGGTCTGTTTGCTGGAAGAAACACTACAGATGAAAAGCACATCAATAAAATGTGTTCTTTATGCACTTAGGAAATTTAAGGAATCAAATCAACTATATAAAGTATTGAATTTTTCAGAATATAAAATACATGTCAGTCAACAACTTACAAAATGTTTCAAAGTGCCTCCAAGTTGCAGAGTAAAAGTTTACAGTTCAGAAACAACGAGGTATAGGAATTAATTAGATATTCAAGAGAGAAAATTGTGAAGCAGACACAGACATCTATTACCTTTCTAGTGTGAAAGCGTACATCTTGGCGGCTTTATCGTTCACAAGATACGTTCTTTCAAGAAACTCCATGATGGCCAGGATCAGAATTGCTGCTGTTATTGTTGAACTTACTGCCCAGCTTTGGAAGCAAAGCAGCACTGCAATTATTTATGCACTTTCTAAAGAAAAGAATTAAAAGTCTCCAGAAATTAAAATAATGAGCTTCCTACATCAGTGTTGTTGGTAGGTCTTCTAAAATTATAACCTCCTTGGAATTTTACCTGGCTTCATTGTTTTCACCTACAAAAACTGCTTTTCTAGGGAGACTTGCTGGTGGCATTATATGAAGTGTGCATGTCTTTCACATGCTATCGGACTCAATTGTGCTTTCTAAGAGGTCGAGGAGCTCAAGAGTTTGCTACTAATTGCTGATGTAGGGTTTTGACCTTCAGAGCACACCTCGGTGAGCTGCAAACAGCTGCTCTTCTGTACACTCATCTGTTTTTTTCTTTTTCTCTCCCTCCTCCTTTTTCTGGACTCTTTATCAGCCTAAAAGTATTTCTTTGGAATTTAGTTCTAAGATGACCTCTAAACAGCTATCAGAATTTACTTGTCTCTCCTAGGACTATTTTGGGATTTCACTATTGAAACAGAGGACAAGGGTCAATAGTTTCCGAAACCAGTAATCTGAAAACAGTTCTTGGTACAGCAGCTTTGAAATCCTTTTGACCGGCAAGAGGACAGATTCTGCTTCTACATAAATAACAGCCTTCCAAAATACAAGAACCAGAGTGAGCTTTGTTCTCCCTGGCCAGGGTACCCTCTCCTAAGGATCAAGGATTCACCCAAGGAAACCCTATCAGGCATGCCAGTTCCAACTCTCAGGAATGAAGCCTCTGAGTTTCTCCTGGGAGACCTCCAACTCCTCAACTCCTAGGAATCAGCATTTTCCTTCATTACAAAGCACTTTGCTTCCAAAATAAGAGAAAGAACTATAGCCTTATGGCAAAAGCCTGGACAAACAGTAGGCATTTGTGTGTGGGCAAAGGTTTTAAGACCTATACACACATACACAAGGGCACAGAGGGAGGGGGTTGCGTAGACTGCAGAAGTAGAGGAAACCCCAGACCACTAGTTTCTTGTCGCCTTTTCCTTCCATAAGCACTAGCCTTCTAGTGAGAAAACTCAGAGTAGTTAAGTCCCAGAATAACTCAGTGGCCCAGTGTCACAGGAAGTTGCCCATCATACTGAGCTGAGATCTCCCACAATGGCCTAATAAAATAATATTGTCCTCTAAAAGGAGGATGGGGTTCAATGCCAATTGTCATAGGCAGTGACAGAAGTCACCTTTGGTTCAGAATGAGAATATTAGGTCTCCTATCACATCTGTGGTATAGCTATAGCTCTTATTATCTTAAGATTTTAAACACTCCCATCTATGGCATAAATTTTAATGTATTCTCATATGACTCCACTCTTTCACTAATCCTTAACTTTGCTCACACAGTTGGGAGCCCCTAAGAGGCTCTGAGAGAGCCTTTTCCTTGAAAGTGAAGACATTGACATCCTGGGTCTACTGTTAGCAGAATAAAAACCGATGTATTTTTTCTCATATGTTCTCACTCTTAACTTTACAAAGTAATTGGTTATTCTGTGGAGGCAGAAGTAGAAAACCAGAAAAGAATAATTAATCCACCTGTGTGACACAGTCCCATGCATCACAGCTTGAATCATTTGTGAATAGTTTCTAGCACATATGAGAGAAATAGAATTCAAGTGAATGAATATTAAAAAATGAGAAAACTACTTCAAATCAGTCTGAAATTCATTAAGGGTACAAAAAAGAGATAATATTTTTAAATCAGGAAGAAGAATATTTGGCTATAGATATCAACAGGAAATCAACAATCTGGAAGTTTGAGATTCCTCAGTGTGAACTTTGCCCCTAGTACAAATATGGATATACAGATCTATACGTGTCTATTTATGATTCTGTGAGTGTGAAAGATACATGCCAGGTGGTTACCGTGGATTGCCTGTGGGTCAAGCATCAAGTGAGAGTAGGATGGGGTTGATGTAGGACAGGGAAAAGTGGAGATGGGAAAAGAGAGAATGAGAGACCCAAGTAAAACAAAAAATACTGCTACCCCCTGCCAAAAATGTATCCTATGATCTCTTCTATTTATCCGTAAGATGAACTATATAGGTCCTATGTGGTCTAATATCAGCAATTTTATATGGTTCAACTTAAATATATATGTGCACATATATAGATACCTAAAATATGTGTGTGGATATGTATGTAGCTTTTACTAATAAAATGTACATATTTATAAAGTATTGGGAAATTAACCATGATTTTCATCAAAGATTTATGAATTCCAAAAGTTACTCTTGAAGATGATTACCATAAAGCAAATCTTCCGGTGTGAGTAGCATAAGAGCGGGGAATAGTAGATTACAGCAAATGAAATTATGTTTAAAAAGTAAGTTTTGCTGCTATAAATTTAGATGCAGATAAATTATGATCAAAAATTACATGTTATTTAATGTAAAATATGCATCTGCTGATCACCTTATCCTCTTACAGGTTCATTTTAACTGCACCATCATTCCCTCTCTCAAATATTTTATCAGCACAATATTTATGAAAAATCTCCCTTCCCCTCTGACTAACCTTCACTCTACTTTGGCATACACTGTCCACAAGGGCCAACCGCCTAATTAGGCTCCACGAGCAGCAGAGAATATATATTTGAAAAGCAACTTGGATCAAAAAGGAAAATCCCATCCCCTGTTGACATTGGTTTTAGTGGGCATTACGATGCTCATTTCAGTTTCCTAGCCAACCGGCTTCCAAACCATTCTGAATTACATGTTGTCCTCTCCGCCCACTCTCCTTCACGAGCTTGGAGTAACTGAATGGGCAACACACAATCTATACCAGCTACCTGTGGAAATAAATATTCTGTCAGCCACAAGAACATCACCAACATAACTGAAGAACTGGTTTGACTTTTCAGTGCTAGCTATTGTCAGCAAAAATTTCCTAATAGTATGTTACAAACAGTAGCTAATACTTGTGCAAAAATAATTTCACAAGGGCCTTAAACATTGTTGGATATTTCACTTGCAGAAAGAATGCACATATTTATACAAAGCTACCATCATTATCCCTAGACACTAGAGTACCAAGTACTTACAATTTGTGTTACCCATATTTAAACTCATATTTCAGAAATGCTTCATATTGCCAATGTTTGGATGCAACCATCTTCTTTAAATCAGACAGAGAAATGTGCATTTTTAAATAATAAATGTGGACTTTCATTATGTTTTGCTTTTTCCTGATTGTGTGGCGAGGCAGTATGGTGAAGCTGTTTAACATTTGGGCTTTCAAGCTGGGAAGACACTTTGAGTTTCCGTTTGACCACTTTCTTAGATGTGTGACTTTGAACACGTTGCCTGACCACTGTGTTTTTTCACTTTCTTACCTGTAAAATGGGAGTATTAATTGAATGCATCTTACAGAGTTCTTGTGAAAAGGAAAAGAAATAATATGTATAAAATTTCTTAGCATAGTCTCCAGTTTTATATAATGTGAGTTTCTACACACTGGGCTATGTCTAAGAAAAATGTTTTGGCTGTTGCTGAGAAATTGGCCTCAGCCTTAACAGAAGGCTAAGAATTACCTATGAATGAAGCATCCATCAAGGAAATAAAGGTTATTTTAAAGGAAGATCTGGGGACTTCAGCTATCAGCTCTATGACTGAGTAGATTTCTCAAACCCTCTGGACTCTACTTTCTCAAATTAGATTGATGTCTGCCTCATACTACCCCCTCACCAGCAGAGTGCTATTCAGAATGATCTTCACTATGAAGCTGTCTTCCACAACAGGGGAGGAAATTCAAACTCAACCAGCGTAATCACCCACTAAAGATTCTGGACTTATGCATTCTCACATAACTATAAAGATCTTATTATTTCCAAGTTGGGTAGTATTTCCTTAGCAAGGTAGCTTTATGGTTATTACTACAGTGTGAGTATTTCAGAAGTTTCATCTAGAAATGTGAAAACGACATAAGAAATTTAATTGGATTGTATTTTAGAGAGCATTATGAAAATTTTATTTTAATCTAAAGCAAACATGTATAAAACACAAACCATTTCCAATATTTTACACATTACTTGAAAATGGACTGAAAGCCATATGACTTTTATTTCCTTCTTGATAAATTAGGACCATATAATTTTTTTACTATTTCTATTTTTAAAGAGATTGAGCTGTAGAAATGTTCTGGTGAAAACGCAATTTGTATTTGTTAAGAATAGAAAGACTTGATAAAATATTGATACTAAAAGAATAAAAGAAATATTTTATTATGTCTCAGATGCAAATAAATGATAGATAAATGAACATTATGTTGTTGGGGAGAAATATTGGCGGTAGGTGGTTGAAGTGTTTATGAAGTGTATATTTCTTCAATTCTTCTCCATATACCACACTTCTTTTTCAATGCACTCTGCAAATCTGAACTAATTCACACTTAAAAGTACCCTCTAGGTGAGACATGGCTGGTTATGTCTTAATAACTCCGAAACAATGGTCTTTTGGCTTCATAGTCTCACAACTATATGTCTTTTTAATTTTATTTATATAAAAAAGCAAGAGAAGATTACAAAGAATGAATCCATTATTTTGAGGCATTAGAATAGAAAAAGTAGATAAAAAATATGCTTTGTAATATTCCAACTCCTTGGTCTACAAATGCACAGAGCATCACTGAAAACTGAAATACCAAATGCTCAGGTTTAATAACAATAATAATAGAGCCCTCTTGTCATTTTCTGAAATGCCAGTATTTAATTTTCATGAGCACTGTTTATTTTTTTCAGTGATAGGTTTTAGGGACTCATAGTTCATCTTTGGGAGATGGATTTTCACAGATAATCCCCAGATGAATACCAAGAGAGCAAAGGCAAAGCTCATCTTCTCCTCCAAATCTCCTGGCCTGGATTTATTTGACTCCTGGCTGACAATACTGCCTCTCAGGAGATAGCCCAGGAGACAAGACAAAGCTGCCTCAAAGCTTTTCCCTGAAAGACTGAACCATTGCTTTTCACATTGAATCCAAAATGCATCAAGGGATGGCAGCTGCCTTTCCAGCTTGGAAGCATAACCACAAGGTGTTACAACTAATTCATCTCTTCTTTTGGTATTAGTGAATTTGTTCCAGTAAGTCTACAATTTAAAATGCTGCTAATCCAATTGTAGCAAATCTCACCACTATGATCAGGAGATGAGTTATTTGAATCTGCATCCAATGAAGACAAATGAAGCATCATATCACCTTTTGCAACCTTAAATTCTTGACCAAGTGACCCAGATATTGATCACTGAGCCAATAACAGGGGCTTCCATTTTCTTTGTAGTCAGCTAACTCCAGAAGAGAAAAATATGTTTATTTAATTATAGCAAGCAAACACAAGACATTATTGAAAACATATTTAGCAACAGATTTTTAAAAGCATTATATACCTAGGATAATATTCCTCTATACCATTCAGAATCTAAAACAAAGAATATTATTCTCTG